GTGAAGACCGATGTCTCTGGCACCTATTTGAGGTTATTTTTCATGCGCAATTGGAAAGGGAAACTGTTGTTGGTATGCTGGTACGGTGCACGAGTAGGTGCCATGCCGCCGCACGACACAATGCACGGTGCGGTTGAAAGTATGATAAATGATAATGATTCGATTTTTTTTGTCCTAACAACGGTGGTACGAGAACCACCAGGATTGAGGGTTTGTCGATCGGACGGCTCCATCTATTGGTGGGGAACTGCACCTATTGGAAACCGGGTCTAGTGTCCCATTGATACATCTTGTAATTCAGCACTTTCTCATCAATGTTTCATGGGGCTGTGGTTATTTGTCTTGCTAGACCGGGACTCCATCGTCCATGGAGCTGCTAGTAACACTCATCCCTTCTTGAAGCTATTGAGGATTTACAAAGAGATCCGCCCTGAGGTGATCAGTACTCCAATGCAAGTTAGTGCAATAAAACTCAACTCATTGAGGGAGGATTCTGCCTATTTATCTAAACTTTTTAACCTTTTGAAACCTATACCTTCTCCAATCCCGTACATAACTGGAGTCAATGATCGAGGATTACGTGTATCCCGGTATAATTGCCCGACTGGGGAGATTGTCCGGTATTGTGAAGATTCGCATGGCATTGTCTTGCCATTATGTATCCATCCAACATAGGGATCGACTGCATCCATCCTTCTAACTTTCACCAACTTTCACCAACTTTCACCATCCCAGTAATCCCTCGTCGTAGTTACGGTCATCACCTCTTTTAAGTTACACCTTATGCAGATTATTAAGCCAGCATTGAGAAGGAAAGTCAGACATTGAACAACTGCCGCTTCTTCGTCTTTTTATCGGACAGGAGGGGGAAGGTTGTGGCTGCGCACCATGGGGAACACCTCTCTCCCTCCCTAACATCATTACACCGGGTTTACCCTCCGTTCCTTTCCAGTATCTCTTCGTTTTTGTCCTTCGTTGCTATTGCATGAGAGAAGTCCATTGTGAATATCATTGTGAGCGCACCACATGACCTCACTTTTCTTCCTTTATCACTCCATTTCTCTCCTTTGTTGTTGTGGCTTGTGAGCAGTCCATTGATTGTCCTCGCTCACTTTAGGATGTTCAAAATATTTAACGTTTTTACAAGCCTAGAGAGGGGGGGGCGGGGGGGGGGGCGAACGCTGAACATTTTGAAGGTTTTGAAGTGGTGAATCCACTAAAAATGTTGAAGTACAACCCCCCATGAACGAAATAAAATAGGGGAGGCGGGGGAAATTCATAATTTTCAGTGTCATCGACAGTTCAAAATTTTCAGAATCTTCAATGTTCCTAAGGACTTGTTGGACAGGGTGGTATACTCATCATTTTCAATGAATTTGCCACGTCGAAGTCTTTAGAATGTTCAACAATTGTACATATTCGGACGCGGGGGGGAAACGCTAAACATTTTGAAGGTTTTAAAGTGGTGAATCCGCTAAAAATATTGAAGTATACCCCTTTAAAGGAAACAAAACAGGGAGAGGCGAGGGGGGGTTCATAATTTTCAGCTTCTTCATCACTTCAAAATTTTCAGAATTTCCAGTGTTCCTACACATCCGGACAGGCACGGCGTACTTCAACATTTTCAGTGGATTCACCACTTCAAAGTCTTATGAATGTTCAACGAATGTTCAACGTTTATACACATTCGAAAAGAGGAGGAAAACGCTGAACATTTTGACGATTTATTCAACGTTATCCGAAGTAGGGGCATTCAATATTTTCATAACTTTTTAAATCATTAAAACTCGATTTCATTGAACTTCAAAAAAATATCTCTAGTCCGATATTAGTTTCATCGAAGATTCTGAGTGTTATTGACCACGTGTGGGGACAATGCGATGGGAGGTGAGAGGTTGGAGCGGTTGCGTGTGGGGTGGGAGATTGGGGCGGTGTGAGGTAACGAAAGGGTTGAACAACGTCTATTAATCGAACGCATATCCCCTGCTTGGAAGGTAGACAAAGAATGTATACCTTCGATAATTCCACATGAAAAAACCTAAATAGTTGCTTCGCCAATGAAGAATTTGTGCGAAGACACCATTTCGGGTTTGAAGCTGCAGGTACACGAGGAGATTTTTATGGTCACTATTGTGTCTGCAAATGCTAAGAATGAAAAATTAATGACTCATTTCAACATACGGTGGATTCGTACTGCTTAAGTATGCGATATGCTCTTTCGAGTCCATCGATTTAGGCTTCTTCCCGTCTGCTGACTATGTACACAACAAGACCAGCGCTGCGCTACACGCCTATTGCTAGGTTGCTGTTGTACATAAAGGTACTACGGGCCCTCTGGCGCATTCAAAAAAAGGTTGTGCGATGAAAATGAGGCTTTGCTCTTCAATACAATCCCTGTTTAACCCAAAAAAAAAAGTTGCGAACATTGCTTTTCTTCCGCACTTGATACAAACATTGACGAGAGAAATCAAGTGATTGCATTCCTATCCGCACCTGTATGTCTGTCGTATGTTGTCCATATACACGAAGCGAGATCAAAACTTAGTCACTACCGAGACCAAAAATAGTAAGGAGAACTAGCGAATCTTTGTGACCGACAAATTCCACTACCTTTTTGTAGTATAATCGAAAAACAAAGTGATGATTGCTTGCTTCCTTCCTAAAAAAAAGCATTGCGCTTTGTGAAGAAATCCAAAATTTCTTGGTGCAACCTTGTCCTCTCGTTGTTCTTCACACGCATTGAGGTTGAAATGTGGATGGTCGAAGAATCTTACCGTGTCTATGAATGGGGCCGATCTAACCTTATGCAGGGCTGTATTGTGGACTTGAAAATCGTTCTCCCTCGTTGTTCATGTATAAGGCGTGCTGATTATCCACCTTTCCTTATCAGTAGGTACTCACTCTCTCAGTCTTTTCCTCTTCTCTCCTCGTATTGAAACTTTGTGTTGTCCTTTCCCTTGCTTGGCCTAAAATCCCCCATCTCTTCCCAGACCTCGACAATACTGAGTGACGTTTTGGTGATAGTGTTCCTGACTGGTTTACACCTCTTTCATCATCCAAATTCTTCCTTGTCTCTATATCCTCAGTGGTAATCAATACTCTTCTCTTTTGGTCACCCTTTCTTCCCTGTCTTTTTGCCTCCTTTTGTATTTCTCCACCTTCATAGAGGAGGGACTTCATCTTCATCCTTGGGAGCTGGCGACTCCCTGTTGACTGGGTGATTCCTTTGCAGCAATCGGGTTTGAGTGGATGCTGACAGGGCACTTGGGTCTGTCAGGATGCTTTGGCGAAGTCCAGGCTTGATTGGTTGGGTGCTGAAGAAGTAACGCCATAGCTGAGAGCTTGAGGAGGGAGGAAGAAGTGTCCATCTTATTCGATGAAACTTTGTTTATAATTTGTTCGAGAACTTCGGGGGTATTATAATGTGGTTAAGATTCTTGGCAAATTCGAGCTGCTGAATGAATTGGGGCGAGACGGTTTCATTAGAATTTAATTAAATTCAATTCTATTTTTTGGTTTTGTGAGCTTCCGCTCTGTAATCTCATCGTCTGGTTTCGTGTGGATTGATCTCTCCAAGCCGACTTGTCAGTGCTCATGTGTATGGGAACGTGTAAGTGCCATGCTGGATTTTGTTTCAATCAGGAACATAACAGTTGGTATCAGAGCTGCGAACGCATGCACTTAGCGGACAAATTGATTGGCGTGATGGGGCTGCGCCCCATCTTCTTCAACAGCTGTTGGTGGTAAGAATTGCTGATTGGTTGGTGTGCAACGGCGAGAAACCGAGTTCACCAGCATGTGCTGGGTCCGGTGTTGATTAGTTAGGACGTCAACCCTAATTACACCGCTGGTTGAGGTGAGGGTTTCACAACCCTCAAATTGGCAGGCTCTACCTCCTTGCGGATTGGTTCACCGTTTGGCCGGCAACCGGTTTTGAAGACTTCATGAGGGGATTATTATTTGCAGACGGTTTCTGGCAGGCAAATCACGTGCGGTGTTGATTGGAAGTTTCGTGAAGTTTCATTTGGGTGCTGACTGACACACTGTCAGCCAGACCCCCCGCAAAAGGTCGAAGTTGACTGACGGCTTACCTCCAATCAAGACCTTGATAGAGTGAGTTTGTTTGGCGTCCTGTTCCTCTGACGTCAGTCTGTCAGTCTGTCAGAAGGGGCCTGTCAAGTCTGCCATTCTCCAGTCCGTTGAGAGGTCAGTCCAAGTTTGTCAGCCTGTTAGGAGATAGTAGGTCGTCTAACGTTTGACCGTCCTATCTGACCCCTGCCTGCGGTTGATTGTGGGTTTTGAACCTGCAAACAGACTGTGTTTTTTTCCAAGGGCTGGAGCCCGCTACAGCACTGACCACATGCACAAAAGACAAAAGTTATGTTGGTGTATTTTTCATGGTTACGCCAGACCCGGACTTGGACACAGTCCGGCTGGACTGACGTCTGGAAAAATCCGGACACGAAAAAAAAAAAAAAAAACAGTTTAAAACACAGGTTACAGAAGGCTTACAGACGGGGTGAATTAGGCCACACCTAAGGCAGTATCCAGCCTGTGCACCTCTCTCTCTTTCTCTCTGTTTCTACGTGTCTGTTTGTCTGTCTGTCTCTGTCTGTCTGTCTGTCTGTCTGTCTGTCTGTCTGTCTGTCTCTCTCTCTCTCTCTCTCTCTCTCTCTCTCTCTCTCTCTCTNTGTCTGTCTGTCTGTCTGTCTGTCTGTCTGTCTCTCTCTCTCTCTCTCTCTCTCTCTCTCTCTCTCTCTCTCTCTCTCTCTCTCTCTCTCTCTCAGAGAATCAGTCACAGCCCAGCCCTCTTTGGCTTTCTGAAAGGGCCAGAAAATAGATAAAAAATCCCATAACAATTTTTTTGAGGTGGGCCTTGGACAACCAAAAAAAAAATAAAAAAATTCCGGACCTACCGCACCGGTCCGCCCGGACATCCAGACGCTGACGGTCAGGACTGGGCTCTGGACGTCTGGAATGTAACCATGGTATTTTTCCATGCTCTAGTGCAAAATTGATTCTCGCTTTGCACATTTGGTGAGTAGTGGAGCAAGGCCCTTAATGTGACAGGGGGAGGGGACAGTCTGTTAAACCACCAGTACTTGGCCCAGCTATCGGCCGCGGCGCTTCCCCAGGCGCGGCACCAGACAACAATGGCTGGAAGGGCCAGCCAAAACAAATTCGAAACGACGTCCTGGCGGTTCGGCAAAACTTGGCGGGCAGGAGGTCGGCATCGATAGCTGGGCCAAGTACTGGTGGTTTAAACCACCAGTATTTGGCCCTAGTTCAGGTCAGCTACATGCCACAAAGCTCTGGTGTGACTATACCCTCCGGAGATAATGAGGCAAAGGTAGTGTCCACTCAGGTACAGAAAAAAGCAAAGGGGCAGCAGCGATAATGTGCGACTCAGGAGGAGGTCACAAGGAAAAATAGGTAATAACTACTAACTAGTGTTCTGCTCAGATTGTACAAAGGCGCTGCTCTTTGTTCCACGAAAAAAAACAAAACAAGAAAGGTGCCGTGACGAAGAACAACTTGAGGTCACAGCAAGATGACGGTGAGATAAGGAACTTTCCTGTTCTTAGGAGGGCATATTATCCCACCTGCACTTTCCTAAGCCTGACTAACTGCAATTACAGTCGGACCTGGATGCATCTGACCGCAATCACGTCCAGAGCTTAGTAGAAAAAGTCCTAGTGTGGGTAATGCCCTTTAGGTTGCAGGGAAGTCGACGGGTTGAGGTGTGTAAGGAGGAAGGAGATTGGATTTTCGCCTGGCAGTACAATCTTGATGCTGGTCCAAGGTCCAAGGTCCACGGTCCACGGTCCACGGTCCACGGTCCAAGGTTCAAACCACTCCCATGTCAGGAACCTGATGATGGTTTTTCAGAACAACTTCGAGCTGGGCACTTCATCCCGGGAATGGTGACGGGACTCTTCCGTAGTCCCAAGATCCTTCGGGTACCGTTTGGAACCTGCAGTGCTGTGGCCTCTGCCGTGATCTGCCCGATCCCCGTCTCTTGATGACGATGAGGAGGAGGAGGAGGAGGTGGAGGAAGAGAAAGAGTTTGACGATGACGATGTAAGTGATGACGACGAGAACATCCAGTCTAGGTCGTCCCCTCGTTCATAGAATGTGGCCTGCAACCTGTCCTTGATATGTGCATCTATTTCTTCCTCTTCTTTGGCCACCGGGGAGGGAGCGATGGCGCTAGAGAAGGGACTGCCAGGCACCATAGCGGACGAGCCTTCTGTGCCTAGCGTCATTGCCACATCTGTCGTGAAATCCAAGAGCGCAAAGTCTGTCTGTAGTTCCGTGTCCTCGGCTCTCGAGTCCATCTCAATAGGAGTGTAAAGCATATTATTGGGTATTGGAGCATGATACATGTCATAAGGATGCATCTGGTCAAGGCTCTGGGGAGGCGACTGAGCTGAGACGGCTGGTGTCGACAACCACCATGAGTCATTCGCTGACGGAAGGAGATTCTCTGCAGCAACTCCAGCGACATTGGTTGTGTTGATGGCGACATCTGATGGTGGGCTTGATGTAGGAGTGACATGGATCTCAACAGGTTCGAGTGCTGGCAGAGTGAGAAGTGGGTCTTGAACAGGTTGAATAAGAATGTTAGGTCTCCCTGCACCAGTATGAGATGTACAAGCAGCAAGAACGACAAGGACTTAGGATACCAAAAAAAAAAAAAAGTTAAAAAGGACTTGAAGGAGAATGTAAGGTCTCCCTGGCACAAAAAAAAGAAAAAAAAGGTCGATTGAGAATGTTTTTTTCTGCAAGTGTGGCAGAGTGAGAAGCTGGGAACAAGAAGACCAGTCGCAAATAGAAGCTAGCGCTTTTTCTGCAAGTGTGAGATAGAGAGGCGAGAAAGCAGAGACAGCAACGACAGGTAATAGGGACAGGGGAGGAATGGGGCGAGGGGAAGTAGTACCAAGGTATACATGGGAGTTGTTGAAGGTGGGACAGGAATAGGTAAGAACAGACCCCGAGACGATGAGAAGGTTTGGGAAAGAACTAGTGACTTGCGGCCTGAGAGGCTGCTAGGGACGCCACCCCCGCGCCCCGCCCTCCTGGGACCCTCCTGCTGTGTGGCTGGGTGCTGCTAGTAAGCTTCCCGGCCAGCAGGAGGGCCATCCAGGAAAGGCCATGGTTTGGCGGGTGGGACCCACTGTAGCAGCCCCCCCCTTGTTTAGAGGACTAGTGCCGCAAGGGTAGGGCTGATCTGATTTCTCACTCTCTTCGCTCTTGTGCTCATATATGTTTTGTAAAAACATTCTTGTCAGTAAGAAGCAACAGGACTGATGCCACCCAGAATAGAAGGGGCCATATTGATTGGGTAAAACAAAAAAGAAACAAAAAAAAAAAAGGGAATTTTTTCAAAATGCCTCTCCGAAATGCATTTAATTGCGGCATACCCCTCTGACGGCCGACTTACCCTGTCGTGCCCCTCCGCAATATTTCAAGTTTCCAAAAAAAAACTCGTGTCGTTTGGGCCTGAAATATGTTCAATACGCCCCTACGGGTACCGGTTCCGCCCCTACCGGATAGCTGTTAAGTACGAGGCCAAAAGTTTTCCATATGCCCTTACCGGTACCTTGCATCTTTCCACCATTGCCCCTGTGGCCATTGGTCGCAGTCGCGGTTGTTCACCTGGCCCTGGGAGGGGAGGTACCAGGCCATATCAGAAAATTGTGCATGGTGCCCTCCATTGTTTTCCAGGAGTTTGGGCCTCCGTGGCTGTGCATTTGACGCCTGTGTGGCCTCTCTGTCATGCACATCGTTGTTCTGCTCTCTCTCTCTCTCTCTCTCTCTCTCTCTCTCTCTCTCTCTCTCTCTCTCTCTCTCTCT